TGAGGAAGGAGGGACAAGGGCAAGGTCAGGACACAGCTGGAATAGAGTGCGGTGACTGGGTGTGCTGGCAGTGCCTAAGACTGACTGAGTGCTGTGGAGATGCCTTGGAAGCAGGGATGGATCCCGCATCTCTCTTGGTGCCACTGGAAAGCAATTCCCTCTGTGCCCACTGCTGCAGCAGCAAACAGCCCTTCTCAGCAGCCCAGAAGAGAAATGCCACCTGAGCAGAAATCCCTGCTCGTCCAGGCTGGATAGACGGCGTCCCAGCCTCCAGCACCAGGACAGGCAGTCTGTGCAACCCTGGGCTGCCCTCTTCCATCAGGGGTCCTGGTGCACTTGTCCCCAAGTACTGGAAGGGACACAGGGAAGGGGCATCAGGGCAGGTCATGCGCTGGGTGCCTCAGCCCCCCGGGACAGGCTGCAGGGGGCTGGTGGCTGCAGAGCCACCCCTGTGAGCAGCACCAGGCAGAGCTGGAGCAGGGCACAGGGCTTTCAGAGAAGGGACAGTTCCCTGTGGGGCTGCTCTTCATCAGCACCAGGCTGTTAGTGAGCAGGATTGGTTGTCCCATGCCCTGCTTCCCATGTGGAAGCCAGGCCAGCCCAGCATCTCCCCATGGCTTAGGGACATGGTAGGCTCTGCACCCAGGTGTCCCCTTGCACAGGACGCTGTCACTGCTCTGTGTGCAGGATGCCTGCCTCTTGCAGGCACAGGAACCACAGTCACAGCCAAACCTGGACTCCTGTGTAGTCCCAGGTCCCTGCGGGCTGCAGACACTGAACCAGCCCCAGAGCCGCCGGGTGTGTGACAGACCCGTGTGACATGCATGCTGCATGTCAGCAGGCTGCAGAGCTTGCTAATGGGTCTAGATCCCTATCAATGTGGCAAATGTGGGATACTTCTCGTTGGAGATGTGCTGCGCTCTCCAGATCAAGCAGCTTCCCAAATGATGTCTTTCCTCGCTGGCTCCATCAGGCAGCGATGAGCAAGCTGAGCAACCGGCCTCATTCTCTCCATGGGGTCGAAGCGGATGTGCCATGAGTACAAACCAGCCTGCAGCACCCTGAGAACTCGGCTCCTGTTTGCCTATGCCTGCAGTAGGCTGCAGACAGAGCTGTTCACCTTCTGCAAATCTGGGAAAGCCATATGCAGGGATGGGGAAGGTTTATGGTGCCTGATGCAGGTCTCCTCCGCTCTGCCAGTGCCTGTAGGGTGCTCAGTTGCAAGGTCAGACTGAGAGATGTGGGAGCAGGATAATCTAGGGATGCTGGCCAGGCCCTTTGCCTTTACCTTGTGCAGGAGCAGCAGGACAGTCACTCCATCCCACACAGAGCAGGACTTTGTGGAGGCTCTGGATTTGGTTATGTGGAACTGAGTATGAAAACCTGATGGAAACAGCTCTGGCCAGCGGAGCTGTGCTTGGCAAAAGAAGTGGTCCGTGGGGGCCACTGGGTATCAGCATCCCAAGTCAAGGAGTGCTGCTGCCTCCTCAGCCTGCATCCCTCCCTCCTCGATTTCCTGATGCCTCTGAGGACAGCATATTGTGCAGTGAGAGCCGGCAGCTGGCTGGGCTGCTCCTGCGTATCCCCAGGAACAGCCTGTGCCCAGTGCCCACTGCAAGGCTAGTGCCGGGTGGGTGCACTGAGGGCTGTGCGTGCAGTGATGCCCCAGAGCAAGGCACTGCCTCACCTGGGAAGGTCCTAGCGAGCCAGAGGGGGAGCAGACAGAGTCAGTGCTGGACCCCTCCCCAGGACACAGCAGGGGGAGAAGCTGGGGTAGGGGGGAGGGGGGCACATGCCCTTGCTCCTGAAATCAGGGTGTTATATTTACTTTCCCCTTTTGGCAGCTAGAAGGGGAAGCCCATCCCAGCCCCTCATTGTTGTCTCAGCGAGTTAATCAGATGCCATAATCCTGTTGTGGAAATATCGGGCCTCCCTGGAAACAATGGGGAGCGAGAATATTGTGGTTAAATTTATACCAGCTGCCTC